GAATTGATACCTTCACACAGCCCCTTATTAACATTGCCAAAAGCCAGATGTGAGCTGGCAGGAACACATTTGGAAACGGCGTACCAGCAAGCCAAGCAAACTGTTTATGAGTGCCATACTAAACTTTGCCCACAAGATGTCGCTCAATCCGTTATGACTTAGGTCTTTTGTTACCAGCAGAATGACATTTCCATTTATTTTACACGCTCTCCAATTATATATTAAAACTCATGGTGGGTGGGTTGGAGGAGAGGAGACCCCGACTCTTTTCAGCCCATGTGAGGAAAATTGATGAATAATTTCTTTAGGTTTTCACAAACCCTGGCTGAGAATTCAGATACCATAAAATTATTGCATCCCCAGTTTCTGGGTTGCTGTGTCTACATGTCCACACCGGCCCTGCCAGTGGCACAGTCTTTTACATATAGTCATCAGTACCATCTGCTCTGAACCAAGTAATTTCCTGCCGACCCCCACTAGCAACACACACAACAACCTGTTTCTGTAATATACAAAATGTCAAAAGATTGCTGTACAATGCAAACAAGCCATCAGATATCTGTGTTTCAGTGGCAATTAAATAGTCACAACATGGCAGTCCAGAGAGAAAGCTTCCAGAAGTAACTGTGCAAAGGCAATCACCAGATCAGGGTAATATTATTTATTGCTCTAGTCCCTGTCTGTGGTTAGAAAAAGAAATCCACGAAAGAAAGATTGGAAATGCTGCAGTCTCTTGCTTTCCTATCAAATTTGCCCTAAATTTAAATTTAGACCTTGTAGTTTTTGACATGAGATGGAAGTAAGGCTTCTCTTCACTTCTCTTGTGACCAATGTCTAATCTAACCTATGACTGATTGTAAGACAGGGTGGCCTGTTATTAAAAATATTTTTCTGGGAAGTGGCAGGGCCAAAATCAGACAGGAAGCAGGTGTGTTAACCCCCCAGGAACATCTTATAGGAAGGTAACTTTGCCCTTTTCTCAAATTAATTTGGCAACAACAGAGCTGATTTGGCCCTTAGGCAGGATGTTTCTGGGATGTCAAGAAATAGTCTTTGGCATATTAAGTCCTTAGCAGTCCCTTTCGTTTTAGTGCAAGTTGCTTCTGTGATCTTTGGTCTCAGTGGCCTGAGCAGAGGCTTTCAGGAGCTGGAGCCTGATGATCAGTGGAGCCAAACAGGAGAATCTGAATGGTGGTGAGCAGAGAGAAAATCAGCAGTGGAAATGGGGAGGGGGGAGGAGGAGCTACCTACAACTGGCAGTGTGGAGCTTGCTCTAGGAGAAGCCCCACATAATGGACAGGTTTGCCCGTGAATGCTCCTTCAGGCTGTATCATCTAGCTAAGGCAATTAAAAAAATGAGTAGAAGGACTTACTCTGCATTTTTGTTTTCGTATCCTGGCTCCATACATCATGGGCAAATGGATCACCTTTCTTTCTGAATTCTCATTCCCTTGTTCATTCTTGCAAATTTATCTGTTTAACTGCTATTCATTTTTATACTTAATAGAAGCCAGGTACTATGGGTTTGAGGACGAAACACATTTCAAAAACTTGTCAGATAACTATGGAACTATTATGCAGAAAAATTCATCTTTTTCTCCAAAATATCTTAGCTCCCAAAGTGGAAACGTTAAACTTTTCTATATTTAGTCTAAACAATATTAAAAGGCACTGGTGTTTTTGACCAGTGATTCTCACACTTTGAGGAATTATCCAAGGATTTGGCCCAAATAGCATCTAGTTCAGTCAGTCCAAGGTGGACTTCGATGCCTTTCTAACAAGCTCTTTGGGGTTGCTAACCCCCAGGGACCACACTTTGAGGGGCAGGGCTTTCAGCCAGGCACTCTTCAGCATGGTTTCAAGGTGGAAAGAGAAATTTCTGGCAGTGACACAGATCTCTTGTAGTTTTCGGAGAGGGAGAAGGAGGGGTGTTCAGAGAAGCCACTGCGAGAGTAGGTCGGGAACTCGGTTGATGAGGCATTGTTCCCTGTCACCTGACCCGGAGTCTCCAGGAGCACACTCCATGTCCTGTGCGCTAGGATGCAGGTTTCCTCCTAAGAGAGGAATCAATCATCGCCTGCGTCACTGTTTTGAAACATCACAACTGAAATGGCTTTTATGTTGCTAAAAGAAGAGGAGGAGGAAGAAGAAAAAAGGCCCAGCTTTTGAAGGGGAAAAATAGTTTTCCGATAACCCCCATTAACTACAGGGGTCATTGTGGCAAAATGAATGGGATTAGAAATCTGCTAAAAGCTGCAGTATATGGTACGCGGTGACTGACAAGCCTTTTGCTGAGTAGTTACAAATGGGACTAATGGTTTAAACTTGTTAGTCATTGTCAGAGCCTCTGATCCTCGAGTCAGCCATGGAAGCTATGGCAGAAATCGATAAGGCGCCACTTTCCGCAGTGAACTGCTCGACCATATAGATTGCCTGAAGGGAAATGCTGAGTTCCCTCCCAGGCTGTCAGATGAAAGCAGGCAGCTAAATCTCCAGGAAGATTGACCACACTGCTCCGGGCAATTAGGCCTTTCACCACTTTGAACGCCGATTATAAAGGCATGGGGAGGGTGCCAGGCCGGAAGCCATCTTGGAGCCTCCGGAGCTGGTGGGGCGGTTCTTCCCTCCAGGGCTGAGACGTGCGTGCATGTCGGGGGCTGCCTCTGGCCTGGCCCTTTCTCTTTTCCTGTATTTCCCCTCAGCAGTTGCAAAGGGAGGCTGGGCAGTCGGGTAGCCCTTGGTTGCTGATGGACTGTAACCGCAGCTGAACTCCATCAGTCCTCCTAGAGCAGCCCAGGCTTCCCATTGGGCGCATTTCAAAACAATCAGATCCCATTGTTCAGGGCCTTTTTGGGCAGAGCCCTGCGAGGGTGCCAAAATCATCAGGGAAAAAGAAAGTGCTTGTTCGTGCAACAATGACAGACAAGCTGCAGATTGGCAGCAGGCTGTGAGGGGCCAAGTATGGGCCCTGCAGAGCTGGCCTCTGAGAGAAGCCCATGTCTGACGCACAGAAGGATGCCTGGGTCCCTGCAGCCTAGATGTGAGCAGAGGAGCCTTGGGCGGTGGGGAGGCTTTGCTTTCCCCCTTCCTGACAAGGCAGAGTGGCTCAGCCTTGGCTGAAGAGGTACCAGCCTCCTGCTTTATCTGCTTTACCTTTCTGCTCCTACTCCAGCTGGGGATGCCTTCCATTTCTGTGGTCCTGGTGCTGAGCGTCACCCCTTGGTACCTAAAATTAGCCTCATGATGGACTTCTTTAATTTTCCTCCCTTCTCCTTGCCAGCCCCGGCTCCTATTCTGCTAACTTTAAGTTGCACCATGAACCTGGCCTTCTAGGTATTGTTTTGCTGTCAAAGGGCTGAGAGGCAAGATATTGTGAAATCATTCCTAAGTACTGCTCTGTGGGAGGGCTGTCAGTCCCAGCTTCGGACCCTCCCTGGCCTGCGCAGCTCCTGAGGGAGAGTGTTGGAAGTCTACCTTATGAAGTTTGCTTGACAGCTGGTGAAGGAGGAAGGACTTGTGCATTGTAAAGGTACGGGTGCCAGAATAAAATGCTGAAGTTCTTTAGGAAACAAAGGGTGGTTGTAGGACATGATAGCACTGGTCTCTTCCACGGAAGAGACGATGGAAGGGATTGCTGCCATTTTCTATTGTAGGGAAAGAGGCGCCTCTGGTCTCAAGGGCAGTTCTAATGGGGGTCGTTTCTTGGTTCATCTTTGACTCACTAAACAGCCACGGGATATCATCCATTATTAAGGAAGCTTCTTGTCACTCATTTACAGTTCACAGGATGGATTGGCTACCTATGAAAACAAAGGGAGTTGTAAAATATAGAACAGCAGAAGTGAGCCCTAATGCACTTTGAGCTCAGCAGTGAAGATGCATCAACCAAGGCCGTCTGTTGTAACAAATGCACTCACTATGTGGGGGATGCCGTATCACTGTGGTCGGGCAAAAGCCTAAGGGAACCCTCTGCCACTTCACTCCTATCTTGCTATGATCCTAAAACTGCTCTAAAAAGTAATCTCTAGCTGGTCATTGTGGCACACATACATAATTCTGCTGTGGAATAATCCTTTGTGCACTGTGAAAATGTATTGCTTTCATTGTTAATAAAAAGCCAACTGGCCGATAGCTAGGCAAGATTTTCAGGGCAGAGGGAATGCTGGGAAGAAGGGCAGAGTCTCAGGAGTCTCTAGCCAGATGGTAAAAGCAATGTGGGAAGTTCATAGATGAGGCAAATGAGCCTAGGGGCAGTATATAGATTAATAAAAGTAGTTTAAGTGTTAAGAGCTAGCTAAATACAAGCCTAAGCTATAAGCTGAGCATTTATAGTTAATATTAAGTCTCTGTGTGGTTATATTTGAGAGCCTGTTGGGACATAGAGAAACTCTGCTTAGGTAATTCCAACCTCCAGGAGGTAGAAGCAAGAAGATAAGAATTTTAAGGCCAGTCTTGGCTACAGATTGAGTTCAAAGTCAGCCGATGCTACATGAAATCCTGTCTCACCCCAATCCTAAAAGGAAAAAAAAAATAGGAAAACTCTATTTAAAAGGCAAGAAATACTCTTCCAAATAATAATAACACGAGCAACAAACCTGAAAACCAATGAAAGTAAAATGAAAGAGGAGTGTAAACATCCCCTAGACCATAAATAGGGTTCACAAATGAAGTGGAATGAAGAAACCGATTTTATTGGAGTATTCTTTCATGAACCTGGCCTCCAACCTCTTTTATGGCGTTAAGTGAGAATTCTTCCTGCAAACTGAGTGCAATTTTTAGGCTTCTGGGGAATTGCTTTGGGCATACTTGGCCAAAAAGCAATTGTTAGGTTCTAGAACTTACTGAATTTTGAGAAAAACTTTATCTTAGGAAGACTGTTGCTTTACTAATTATCCTCTTAGCTAGAATTTTTACTGACAGCTCTACTGAGGATGACGGTGTAGAATGCTGAGTGCTACCTTCTGCTTGGTAAACTTTGGTTCTCTGTGTCTTAGCCCCTCTTCCTTTCCTGCAAAGTGGAGGAGGAATTTCTTCACTACTTAGCCTCAGGTGTCTGTGGTCAGCAGAGTAAATGCCTCTCCAAGAGTCTGTATCCTGATTCCTGGATCGGTGACTATGTTATGCTTCACCACAAAAGGGACATTGTAGCTGTAAGGATGGTAAAGCACAGAGGTTCATCCAGATTATCCAGGTGAGCCCAGAGGTTTGTGAAATAGCTCTAAGTGTTTTTCTTTTTGTTTGCTTGGGAAAGTGGAGAATGTTACTAGATAGGTTTAGAAGAAAGGGAATCGCAGAATTATAAGGGGCCGTAGTGATTGATCTCATTGTAACAAATGCCAAGACTCATGTCACAGTGTCCTTGAAAACTGCTTTTTGTGACTCTGTAGAATATTGCTAGCTATGAGAACCTTCTACTTCATAGGACACTCTCTTCAGGAATTTCACAGTCCTAGGATGGAGAGATGGCTCAGTGGTTAAGAGCACTTGCTATTCTTCCAGAGGACCCAGTTTGGTTCCCAGCACCTGTAACGGGTGGCTCAGGACTGCCTGTATCTCTAGTTTCAGAGGATCTGACACTCATCTTTGGCCTTCACAGAAACTGCACGTATACCATTCACATAGAGACAAACAGGCAAACACATACATGTAAAAGTAAAAATAAATCCTAAGAGAAGAATTGTACACTCCCAATTCTTAAGTCTGTGTACTTATATGATATCTTTGTTTTCTTATGCTGCTCACTCTGACTTCTTTTTTTTAGTCAAAACTTTAAGGCTCAGATTTGAAATGCATTTAATATTGAATGGAATAGGGACTGTTTTTTGTTTTGTTGGGGTAGGGCCCTGCTCTCTGGGGCCAAGTTCAGGACTATAGAGAGATGGGTCAAAATATTTTCAGGGAAAATGTTAGTGTAAATTAAGATAGCTTCATGAGACACAGTGGGTAGAGGTGCCTACTGCCAAGACAGATAACCCAAGCTGGATCCCGGGGATCCACACAGTGGAAGGAGGAACCAGCGGAAGGAGAGCAGCACTCCTCTAAGGTGTCCTCTGACTTACACACACTCACTGTGGCATACTCCTCAAATAAATCTTAAAATGCAATTAAAGAAAAGCTTCATGAGGTATATTGCTAGCATTTTCACTGTTTTGTCTCCTGAACCAGTATATAACTCATAGTACTAAATATACATTTATTGGCTCAATTAAAATAGTCTAATAATAACATACACAAGAAATAACTAGTTTGGAAATCATGACAAAGAGCTCGGATAATAAAATTTGGTCCATCCATTTGTTAAAAAAAAAAAAAGGGCATACTTTCAATACATTGGGAGCTCTTCCTCTGAGATGTGTTAGTGTGCAAGTTGGATCATCTTACTATCTTAAGGGGCTTTGTGCTTTCCAGCAGGACTGCATGTAAAGGGCAGAGGAAATCTGTGTGTTCTCTGAGAAACCAAGAGGTCATTGCTGGTTACTGAGGAGAATTTAGGACTTCTCTGCTTGAAGGCAGATCTAATGAGTCCATGTGGGGAGCTGTAACCTCCCCGTAACACAGGATATGGAGGGTACATTGGGCCTTGAACAATTAATCAGTGTTATGGCATAACAACTCAAATATGGAAATTCTAAAGGTCCTACATATTGACAAATGGCCAATTTATGCTAAGATCCATCAAGTGTGTTGGGGCATTTGGAACTATCACTGCACAATCATGACATGGTCATTATCGGGCCGCAAATCATCCAAGGAAATGACATGCCTCAGGAGGCAAGGTTTGCCCGCAGAGCCTGCCTCTTTCTAAACTCAGTGTGTGGCTGGCTTGCTGTAAACGAAGCAATCCAGCATGTAGATGAGCTCCTGTGTGGCAGCTGCATGGCGGAAAGCAATTATAACACAGAGGCAACTCTGCAAGCAAGAACCAGGCCCCTGAAATATGACCACGTCTGCCTCACCACCAACGGAGATGCCAAACTGAAATACACACATAGTTGTAATGGAGAGAGAGGCCTGAATATATAATAGCAAGGAGAGGAACTAGGGATACTCTCAGCAGCCTCCACAGAAACTGTGCTTGGCAGAGGCTGTCCTGGAAAACTCATTAGCTTCTTTGAACTTGGAGACAGGATTCTTCATGGACCCAGGAGTCCACTGTTCCCTTTAATAATGTGCAGGGTAGTAGAGCAATGACATCACACATTTTCTTTTTGTTGACTACACTAGACATTGTCATCGCTCCCCTCTTCTTAGAAATGTACATGGTAAGAAAAGCATGGTCGGTGGGCCAGGAGGACTGACCCATAGGATGCCAAAATTGACAGATGGAAGACTTTGATTGATCAATAAGGTTTTACAACACATTGCTTGATATTTGAATATAAGATGTGCAAATCTTGGGCATGGATGGTTCCTTCTGTGCATCTTCCATTCTGCAGAGGCAGCATGGCCATTCTACAGATTGAGAAGGCGTCATGTAGAGACAGAGACACAGGGAGAAGAGATTGCACTCACAGAGATGGAGTTTAGTTTCTGATTTGGTCCCCTCATTTCAACCTCTCCTGAGGCCCTGTGATAACTTCTATTCTTGGGTTCTGCGAGCCAGCCACACATGATTTTACAAATGCCATGTTTTTTTTTTATTCTACCAAGCAACAGAATTTGTTTGGGTGGGTAACATAGGCTTATCGTCTTACTCAAAACAACCACCATTTGAAGATAGACAGTTATTTCAGCTTTTCATGAGGAGAGAGCCTCAGAGAGGTTTGATGATATCTCTAAAGTCATAGGGTTTGTAAATGGGGGAAGTGGCGATTTCTATTGAAGTTGCATTTGCATCGAAATTGATTTTACATTTTCTGTGAAATCATTAAACCACCTACTATATAGTAAATGATTTATGCTATAATTTGAGAACAGAATCTATGTTGAATTACTGAATCAACTTGAGAGTATGACTAGAAACCAAATCATCTTTATTTAAATAGCTAGCACTACTTATGTTTACTTGTGAGTCGAAACTTGCACATGCCCTGAAGAAAATAATCTTATATATGACTTTTTCTCTGAGGTAACGAGGAATAAAAGTTTAAGAAGTGTTGCCTAGAGTTACCAATCATCCCAGAAAGTTTGGAACTTAAAACTAGCTCTTCATTATCATAGGCAAGATAGGTAATTCCAATTGGAGGGCAAAACTAGTAGTTCTCACAAAGAGAATCAAAGGATTCTGCTCATAGGTAAAAAGTGATTCTCTATTTTGGACAGGGGAGATGGAAGTGATTTTTCCTGTCCTCTCAACCACTAAGCAACATTTGGCAATGCCTGCACTTATATTAAGTAGCTTCCACTGGAGAGAAGATGCTACTGGCTTTTGGTGGGTGGGGACAAGGGACTTTTGGTGCAGTGCACCACAGTACAACACCACAATGACAGAAGACTGTCTGGCTTCAAATGCTGGAAGTGCTGAGCTTAAGAGTCATTCACATGTCCTCTGTGGCTAGCACACTGTGTAAAAATCTTACTTTATTAATAACAGTGACTTGAGCCTTTTGGATGGGCCACTGTTTACACACACACACACACACACACACACACACACACACACACACACACACACACACTTACACTTTATTTTGGAGTAATATACACCTGTGGATTATCATCTATTAAAATAACAGCAACAATTGCTCACCAAATTCCCTGGACAGCCACTTAGACCCCGGAGAAATGAATATGACTTACTGCACAGGAGGTTCTAACACCGAGACTGAAGTCAGAGTAAGAATGAACCCAGGAGAAACCTGTAGCAGGCAAAACCTCTGTTTCTGTTATGCACTAGAAAAATGAGGCAGCATAATAAAAAGAGAGAAATACTACCTGAGTGCTCAAGAACTATAGAGCACATATTCAAATTTCTAGATGTGAAAGGTAAGATTTACTAATGTTGAAAAAATGGTTAAAGAAAACATGTTCGGGAGAGGAAATATTGCCCTTGAATTTTATAATGGAATGATCTCTCTCCTCAGGGTGTGCTTTCCATTCCCAAATATGTGAGGAAGTTTACTTGTTCCCATTTAGTTGGAATTTGAGGCTGTGCAGTTGAATAGACAACACTGTGCAACCTCTCTATTTGATCATTAAAACCAGAGCTGATTCTGTAGCTTAAACTCTTTTAGAACATCATTTTCCTTCAGGTGAATGAATACAGACATTTATTACCTATGTTGTATCATACATAGTTTTCAGTATTTGGGGCTGTACATTATAGATACAATGAACACGTGTTAATATTGTTATCTGCCTAACTTCCAATCCTCCTTTGCATTGGGGTTGAAGGAAGACTTCACCATTATGTTGAGAAGAATTATGGTTGCCATCAAAAAAGCTGAGTGATTTCTGGCTTCCTTTTCCTGCCTCAGAGCAAGGCACATGTGACCTAATCATCAACGGGATGTTCTCCACTTGGATTTGGTAAGGTTGGGATTTTGGGAGCCAGAGATTCTATGGTGTAGTTACAGAGTAGGAGCTGTGTGGGTCCCTTGGTTAATACTTGGAGAAGAGCTTTCTGGAAGAATTGCATGACCCATATAGATTATGTGAAGCTAGCAAGAAGGTAATGTTTGTTACTGCAGCTTAGCCGTGTCTATCCTGACTAGTGTAGAATGAATCATTGATAGAAAGATATTTATTCAACAATGTTCTTAAAAATTCAACTACCTAGGGAGGAAAGGTAGAGATGAATGGAACAGACATTTTATAGCCTCACAGGACTGCTTGGAGCTTCACTTCTGCCAGCTGCTGACTAGGACTTTAGGGGTTAGTTGAAGGCAAGCAGGAAATTATAAGTTCTGACTATTTTTCTTCATTCACATTAGAAAGAAGGGGCAGCAGATTAGAAAGCCCTACTGACCCATGGCAACATATTCACAGAGACAAATACCTCATCTCATTTTAATTTCCTAGAATGGCTTTTTTAGTTCTCACTGAAAAGTATTCAACTGTCTTTCTCACCCATACTAATCTCTCATGAATCTAGACGATAAAAGCCTTTAAAAAAATAAGCCGGGCGTTGGTGGCGCACGCCTTTAATCCCAGCACTGGGAGGCAGAGGCAGGCGGATCTCTGTGAGTTCGAGGCCAGCCTGGGCTACCAAGTGAGCTCCAGGAAAGGCGCAAAGCTACACAGAGAAACCCTGTCTCGAAAAAAAAAAAAAAAAAACCAAAAAAAAAAAAATATATACATGCCCCATCTTGCCTCAATAAGTCAAAATGACACGCTTTGTCTGCAGATGGCAGCTAAAATTCTATAGTCCGTAGGGTGACCGTGAGCTCTCTCTTGCCCGTCTATACCTTCTGCTTCCTTGATGCAGAATCTTGAGGTGTTGAGTTGGTTGTTCAGATGTAAGCATTTTTGCCTGTTGTCCCCTCTTTTTCTATCTTCAAAGCACTGTGCTGCAAACTCAGTGGTATGTGACCTGAAACAAGCATCTCACAGACACTATTCTTTTGTGCCAAAGAGCTCACTCTAATCTAATGTCCAATCTTCCAATAATTATCACATTTTCTTTCCCCGCTGAGCACTCTGAAGCATTTTTGCTAAGTAGCCGAGGAAGCACAGTAGAAATAGTCCTGGTCTCTGGTGGTCAGATTTGCAAATTTATCCCAAACCATCGTAAAACCCGTGCAAGTGCTTCACATATGCAAAAAGCCTTCTACTATGCCAGACAGGTAAGTGGGTTGTTCTGGGTGCCCTTTTTTGCCATTAGTCTTACTGCAATGGGATTGTGGGGCACTGAACTAGAACTCCCAACAGCTCCGATTGCTGCCTGCTGCCTCAATGAATTTTATATTAGCAGGCAAATGAAACAGTCAACCAAGTGAAAGGAATTCATAATGCTGAGGCTTCTTCAGACTGGAATGTGCTGTACATTTTGCAAAAAGGATGGTGGCTATCAACGTGCGATGACTAATCTAGACAGATCGCCACTTTACGACACATCTGGTCTCAAGTCCTTTAAATTAGTGGAGTTCAGCTGTAGAACACTGGCTGAACTGGAGAATACAAATTCATATGCTTCCTATGCACGCATAAATGCTAACTGATGAGCTTGGTAATGACCGGGAGCCTCATTGCTGGGAGACTGATAAGCTAGTACAGGGTTTCTTTGCTGAAACATTAATTAAGACAGTGCAATAAAGCTTCCGAATTACTAGTTTCTAAGCAAGATAGTTTGAATTAATGTTTATGAAAGCTCTTTATTAGCCAGAAGATGATCTTCAAAGGTAATACAGGCAAAGCTTTTTCCCTCTTAATTTAGAATCTTAGTAAATAGTGCAAATCTTCCATTTTATACTTAGAGCCACGGCGGGAGCCTCAGAACCATAACTTAGCCAGTTTGCCTGCCATTATCTTCTTCCATGTCTCCCTTAAACAAGGATAAAGCATTAGAAATGGTGTGTGTGTGTGTGTGTGTGTGTGTGTGTGTGTGTGTGTGTGGTTTTATCCCCAGGGAGTTATTTTTTAGTAGATCTTAGAGTTTAGAGTTGGCTAATAAGGTCTAATCATCCAACCATCAGATTCTTCCAAATGTGAAACCAAGGCCCCACTTAATATTAATCAAGCCACCACAGTGAGGTTTGTCCAAAAAAGGTTGTGGACCCTTGGGCTGTTAGGAGTTGGCACAGGATCAGCACAGGAGGTAATGATGGCATCATTCTCTGAACTTTCTGGCTTGATCTTAGGGCCTTGGTGTATTCAATTCTCAGTGCAGTCTGTTAAGAACAGCAGCAAGAACAGATTCATGAAAACATGTGACAGAGAGTGATGTTAAGTCATGCCAAGAACCACTTGATCCATCTCTGCACTCAGGAAAAATGTGAGATACTTTTTGGATAAAGGGAAAGAAGTCATGTGGGAGTTTGGCTAGCAGAGTAAAGGATGGACTGAGAAGTTCCCGAACTTAAATGTAGAGTTTGTGCATGTGGGAGCAATCACACTTTTAGAAGGACTGGTTTGTAGAATTAACCAGGGACTGGTTTGTAGAATTAACCAGAAATTCAAAGGCCAAAGTGCTATATACTAAAGGTGTGGCTAAATGTGTCAGACCACTAACCAATAGTTCTGAATTGCAAGAAGAAAAAAAAATCCAGTTAAGGAATAATGTTTTAAGAATTGGAGTTGCCTCCATATGGCTTGGTCTGCCTCCAGGTGAAGAGAGTTTCTCATCACTTGACACTTCCAACTCCCAAACTAATCAAGAGTGGTAGAGAAGAGATTGGTGCATCAGACTAGGCTTGGATTAAACTGCTTCTGTGGCTCATGCCAATTTTGAATTTACAGGAGCCTGCACACACAGATCAAACAACACCTGCAAGTCATGGGCTTTGTTGGTTAGATCTAGTAGGTATTTTTTTCTTTCCCATTGTCTTTCTGTTACTGATTTCTCTTGGCTTAGAATGAGCACATTTAGATAAAAGACCCCCCAACAAAGGTCACTTGTATGATTCTGTAATCATAGTAAGGTTTGGTTTTGGTTTTTAATTTTAGTATATCCTGTATGAAAACTAAAATGTATGAGGATACTAAATTAGGAAACCTTATGCTTCACTGTTGCTTATGTAATAGAACTCTACTTGGCTGAGAAAATGTACTTCCAGTAAACTTAGTCATATAGATTTATTTCAGTATTATAAAGCACCACCACACACACACATGCATTCACACACACACACACACACTCACACACACACACACACATACGTTCACTCACACTCTTACATTTTTTTCAATGCTGAGGCTAAAATCTAGGGCCTTGCTCCTATGATGCCAACATGCCACCATCGAGGTATATCTTTAGCTCTGACTCTGTATTTATAATTATATATGTTATATATATTATTTTACACTAAGTTTATATATTAATGGATATTTACTAAGAATCCACTATCGAATATAGTGTTTTATAGTTATATCATTTGAACTTTACTATGTTCAATGAAGACATTTTTGTTATATTTATTTTACTAATACAGACATTAAGTCTACAGAAGTTTCAAGACAAATAACCAAAAGGGTTGGGATTTGAACACAGCTATTTGACTCCAGAACATATGAAATCCTGCCTCCCCTATTTGGTAAGTGGCAGTTTTGCTTAGATAATGATGCTCTTAGAACCAGGACTGTTGTATGGACTGGTGTCAGGCTGTCTGGTAGTTTTGTGATAGATATATCTTGCTAGAGTGAACCACACATTCTGGGATCACCTTCACTGTGTACATCAAAGTCATGAGAAACAAACACTCTTGTGAAGATTTGGGAGTGTGGAAGTGGAGTATCAGTCGTACACTAAAGCTCACAGGTGGAATCAATTTCTGCGAACTCACTTTGTCCATAGTGGGATTGAATTGATACACTCTCCCCTAGATCTTCCTTCATCTTGTGAACTTCTGTGTGAGTATGTGTGTTTGTGTTTGTGTTTGTGTGTGTGTGTGTACATGCGTGCGTGTGCTTGCACGCTTGTGTGCAAGTGGGTTTCACTCAGTGAGAAAACCTATTCACCCCTCCCTAGCCTTCAAGATTAAGGCCAGAGTGAAAAAGCACTTTCAAATGCTTATACCATCCTTGAGGGATTCCAATCTTCTCTACCTTCAGAAAATTCTGAAGTTTCTGACCTCTTACTAATTTGACTTTCAGACTTCAGGGCTAATTCAGAGGACAACAGCTTTACAGAGTGGGTTTAACCAGTATGCAGAGCTGACTGAGTCAAATTACTGTGACAGACTTTTCCCTATTCAACCCAACCTGCTTCTGTCAATCACAGGTCATACTTGTTCATACCTTCTGCTGCTGTTCTAATCAAACCAACCGACACAAGCACATTGGGGTGTGACCTTGATGTGTGGATTGACATCAACACAGTTGCTGTCTTCTGTTGTTATAGTCAACATGAAGTTAGAGTATAATATGGGCAGAAATGACAATTTCAGTCCATAGGAAACAGCCTCAGGACGGCAGAGTGAGACTACAGGGTTGGAATGGCTTTCAGGATCTTTTGTAATATATGCTGGATGATGCTGGTAAGCTATTTATCTTCTCTGGACTTATGACTTGGCCTGCTAGAATGGATACTATCAGTGTTTGCTTTATGTGGTATGTGATGTGTTTAGAAAAGAGTAAACTTTGCATTGCTGTTTGCTATTATAGTTATTCTTGTGAATCCGCAGAGGATTGGCTCAGGGCCAAGCTTCAAAATCCATGGGTGTTCAAATTTCTCGTACAAAAATGGCATAGTATCTGAATATAATCTCTGCTTATCCTTCTATAGTCTTTAAATCATTTCTAGGTCACTTATATCACTTAATGCAAGATAAATGCTATACAAATAATAGTTGTATAAACTGAATTTTAAGGGACTTATGGCAAGAAAAATAGACTGTACATGTTCAATATAGGTGGGAACCTTGTAGAACTAACTTTACAAAACCTAAAGGACATGCAATGCAACAATGTCCAAATAAGGAATATTAGAGAGAAGAGTCCATGAAATGGTGGAAACTATGTAGAGTAATGCTCTCATGGCTTCATTTATGTGGATTCAACATTGCAATGTTCAGTATGTGAAAATTCACATTTTGCTTTTTGCAACTTTCTAGAACTTGTTTCCCAAATGTTTTAATCTATGGTGAATTGATTCTAGAGTTATAGAACCCAACGATGGGGAGGGCTGGACTGTCTGCTCTTTGGAACTTTCTGGAATTTGCTCCCCATACCCCAGAACATATTGATTAGTGGCTGATGGATTCTACAGACTTGGAACCTGTGGATATGGAGGGCTGAATATTCTTTTCTTATTGTTAGTTGTTCGAGGAGAAGGGCAAATTCTATCTCCGTGTTTCTAAAGTGTTTCAATCCTGTCTCATTTCTTTGGGATTGAAAACATGTATTTCAAGCCTTTGAGAGACTCTTAGCTTTTCTTGTCCCATCTCTGCTTCTCAACTCTATCTTGTGTCTCTTTAAATGACTCCCCACTTCCTCCCCCAGAGATAAAAAAGGGGAACAGATGGATGAGGATGAGATCAAAATTCAGGAAGAAACTTGGGTAAACAGTTTCCATTAGCCTCTCTTTTCATATCAATCTAGAGAGAATAGGGGAGATGGCAAACAAGGAAAAAAATAATGGTTTGGATTAAGCAGGGCTTTTACATGCACCAGCCCTTCAGAACAGCTCGTGTCTGGGCAGAGTCTGTGTGTGCCCTGTCCTCAGGAGCACAGAAAGCAGGTAGACCGGTGGTGGAATGAAAGTGTCCTCATCCCACAATTGAGCTTTTCTGATATTCCTTTTAAACACAGCAAGTGCTTGTGCCCCACGTGCATTGTGGTCAATTTTTTTCCTGGAATGGCTCACCTTTTCTGGCTCCCCAAGATAGGAGAAACGTTTTGAGCACAGCTGCTTGTTTGGGTTGATACAGGGGCCCAGAGAGACATTTATTCATTCCTTTTTGAAGACCGCTCTTGTCATCCCTCTGAGGCTACTTCTTGCCAAAGTGGCTGCTGTCTGGCAACCACATGGGCCAGGATGGTCAAGTTTCAAATGTCACCATGCAAATTGCAGTTTTAAACCAAAATCAAGGCTTGAAATGCCAGACTTTAAATGTCCCTCAAATACATGTTTTTCTCAGCTATGAACTTGCCACAGAAATAAACAACAATTATGTAGAAAACACCTCTCCTATCTTTCCCATTCTCTACCCAGTACCAAAACTATTTCATGGAGTGTTTGTGATAAAAAGATGTCTCAGTGTGGCCCACTTAGTACTTTGAAGCATAGAAATGAAAGACGGTAGGGCACACATACCACAGAACCACAGAATGACAGAGTCATCACTGTCCTAGTTTTCTGAGTCACGGTGACAGACACAAGGGGATTGATTTTAAAGCTGCTGATGACACATCATCAAGACAGCAGAGCATGGCTCTGCTTTAGAAAAGAGACCTAAAGAATCTTCCCTTATGACTCGCAAAGGAGCTTGGAATTTAGACCTTGCTTTTATGTTTTAAGAAAATGGAAGCAAATGACATGGTCTATATGGAAGATCAAGAGTCACACCTCACCCAGGATCTTGGAGATGCTCCAGTAGGCAGATGGGGGATGAACTTGTTGTTCATGGTTTGGGGCATTGGGTCAGTTGCTACAAGGGAGATTTTACCACCAAGAATGAACCAAAGCCAACGTCACTGTTTAGGCTGCTTTATTCAGATTCTTCACCAGGAATGGCAAATGAGTGAAGCTAACTAAAGCAGAAGGCCACGTTCATTGTTTTCTGAGGGGCCCCAGAAGAGTTTTCCTAGCGTCATTTGGTCACAGAACCCAGTTGTTTGCTTTCTTGCTTCTGCAGTTCCTCATCCATTTCTGGATCCAGAGGAATCAGGAAAACAGAGTGAACTCTCCAAGAACAAGGGCAGCTTTTAATAATGCTTAGAGAAGAGTGCCTGTCTCACAGGCTGCTGAGATTCTATTTGTTCCTTTGAGAAAGCAAGTCATTTGAGTTGGAACTTACCAGGTGAAAGAGGGAACAAAAGACCCAGTATGACTCAGAGTCTTCCGCTGAAGCAATCAAACCAACAAACAGAAAATAAATCTGTACTCTGTGTCCTCACTGAGTCACGGCATTAGTGAGTTCTCTAGGATGAACCCCACTGGGATGATTTCTTTCTACCCAAACCTATTTCCTGTAGTTGCTTAGACTGTGTGCTCCGGTGAAGTCAGCAGACTGCAACACGCTAATGAGTAGAGACAGTTTGATTTCTGTGCAGCATGGAGATAGTGACTTTAAGAAGTAAAAATATGGGTCTCTCCATAAAATCCAAATTCTCAATAAATAGTAGATATTTTTTTGATACAACTTTGCCTCAAATATTGCAAGGGTCATATTTATACTAAAATATTCACATTTTACATGGAAATGCTAAGGATATTAATTGTTCTTCTGAAACAATTTTAGCTGGGATCCAGTCTAGTATTTTACCCAGCAATCCTTGTGCCATATCACACCAAAACTATAAAACTTCATGACTCCTGAGTATAATTGCTATGGATATCACTCTGTATGCTGTGAATGTGTTGCTCTGATCTGGTTGATAAATAAAATGCTGATTGGCCAGTAGCTAGGCAGGAAGTATAGTATAGGCAGGACAAGCAGAGAGGAGAATTCTAGAAACAGGAAGGCTAAGTCAGGAGATGCTGCCAGCCGCTGCCAGGAGAAGCAAGATATAAAGATATCGGTAAGTCAAGAGCCATGTGGCAAGGTATAGATTTATAGAAATGGGTTAAATTAAGATGTAAGATCTAACTAACAAGAATCCTGAGCCATTAGGCCATACAGTTTTAATTAAGATAAGCCTCTGTGTGTTCACTTGGGTCCAAGCAGCTGCAGGACTGGTGGGTGAGAGAGATTTGTCCTGACCAGGGGCCAGGTGGGGCACAGGAAAAACTTCAGCTACATGTACTATTTTTAAGAAACCAACTAGGTTTCTCTGGATTATGTTCCTTTTGCCTGTATAACTTGGCTCCTGAATACTGGCCTGTCCTAGATGGAGGCCAGGTCCTGCTCAGCTGGTGACAGCCATCCATGGCCACTCCTCCAGGGAAGTCTGAGGTTTAAGATGCTGTTGTTGGCTCTGCAGGAGTGTGTTGTTTTCCTAGGCTCTGTGGAGACTTACAGGCATCTACTTGGCCTTGTGTTGGTATGCACTGTGTTGTGCTCTTAGGAGTGATGGGCATTTGGAATGCTTCACTGGCTTTCTCCTCCTATGTTTGTTTTAGGACTCTTTTTTTTGTACTTATTGTCTTAGGAATCTTCTTTTGTACATATTCAATATATGTTCCCACCACCACCAATGGCTGGTCAGCCATCATAACTTAAAAACTCACCTTTAAATACATGCAGACCAACAGAACAGAAAGATGTAAGTATAGAAGTGAGGAGTACAGTTGAGTAACAAAAGTGCCCTTTGATAATGATTTCTGTTGGCTCCAGGGAGATTACCTTGTAGACCCCTGAACAAATGGGTTTGTTTTAGAATATAACTTGGAGTTGGGCGATGGTGGTGCATACCTTTAATCCCAGCACCCAGGAGGCAGAAGCAGGCAGATCTCTGAGTTCAAGACCAGCCTGGGTGCTGGGATTAAAGGTATGCACCACCATCACCCAACTCCAAGTTATATTCTATGTAACTCCAAGTTATAAAGAGTGAGTTCCAGGACAGGGCTACATAGAGAAACCATGTCATAACTTGGGACAGAATGCATTGTTGGTATATCATGAAATGAGTAAAAAGTGCTGGAACCTGGGACTTTTGACTCTCCAGTGTTCTCTTTCTTCATTGACTCATTGATTTGAAAAGAGTTTTGTGAGTACATACTGTGAACAAAGTATGTCCTGGGGATTTAATGGTGAACAGGATGCAGCTCCTGCCTGCAGCTGGCTGTGTGAAGGTGGATGAAAGCCTGATGGAGACACATATAAACAGCTGAATAAGGATAATACAACCTAGGATAAATACCACAAAAAGATAATTTTGTCTTATTTTGGTGTAACAGAGAAAGGAGTGGAAAGAGATTGGGTGGCAGAGGAGAAATAGACCTTTTTGAGGGATAGCAAAGTGGAGTCCTCAAAGGGCATGAGGAGCTTACATAGATGAAGAAGTGCAGGAAGAGTGCTCCAGGACTGGGAAGATTGTTCAGTGGGTAAAAGCACTGGGTGCAGGTCTGCCAAGTTGAGTTGAATCCCTGGGACCCTCATGTGGGAAGAGAGAACTGACTCTTGAAAGTTGCCTTTGGTTTCCACATGCATATCCCTCACATGCATAATAAACTTACAAAAATTTAAAAGAGTTGTTTTGATATAGTTATTTATTTGAATGTCTCAAGGTGAAAACTTACCACCTTAGTCTAGAGTTATTGTAAAATGAAGTAAAGGTACAATATAGAAAGTTGAGGATGACAAAAATGAATCAGGGGCTAGATCTTTCAGGGCTAGAAATAGTTAAGAATTTGTATTTTGACTAAAGAACAATGGGAAGCCAACAAGGGATCATGGGAGTTTTGTATCCATATTTCCATGGCAGATCCCTACTATGGCTGCAAATTGAATAAAGAAAGAGAAAGGAGGCTAGACCTAAGTTAGGTGGCCAATTTCGAAGAATATCACTCATTCATCCAAAATGATTCTGAGAATGATTGGGAAAAGATGTTAGATATAGAAAAAGTGTGTGTGTGTATACACATCTACCTTTTGAAGATGTAGAATAGATTGGACTGTAGTGGAAGCGTGAGTTTGGTGGTCTAGGGTGAAGGGAGATGTCAATATCTTGGGAAACAGGGCTGGAAGAAGAACTGAGTTGGACTAGACAGAGAAGTGATGAAACTTGAGAAGCTATCATCTTATTTTAGAATTTCCACATGGCAAGTGGAATGGCCTTCTACCTCAGTTCAATTGAACCCAACAGTAAAAACTAGGGTTATAAAAATTATGGCAGGGCATTTCATGTTGTTGAAAGCTCCATTCTTCTTTTCCTTCTCATAGCAGCTCAAGGGAAGTAGGGAAAGATTTTCCCCCTTTAAAAGTGAGGAGCAGCCCCCCCCCCTTGTGTTTTTGTCTAGGATATGATAATATGACCACATCTACATCATCACTAGTAGCCAGGGCTCAGCAAGATTAATTTAACCCTGAGCTTCATAGGTTGGGATCAACCATGTGAGCTCTATTGGGATGTTTACAAGCTTAAAAACTTTAGTTTATCAATAGAAGGAAGATGCTTATTAGGGATGGAAGCTAAAATTCTGTGGGAATTTGTCCAAAGGGTTGTTGGAAAATAGAGTAGGGAATGAATGATCATTCCTGGTAAAACACAGTGGAAACATTCACAGAAGCCAAGGGCTTCAGTGAAACTCTAGTTTCCTTAATAGCAAAATATCATAGACTGACTTAAACAACAGAAACTTATCACTCATAGTTCTGAAGGATGGGAAATCTAAGATCAGAGTGCAGGATGATTTAGTTTGTGGTGAGGTGAGGGCTGTCTTCCTAACTTCCAGACAGCTGCCTTCTCCAGGTATCTTCATATGCCTTTGCCTTAGTTCACTGCTTCCTCAATGGGATATTCTTTCTTCCTCTTATTAAGAGGGTGTTATGATCCCATCCTTACTAACCTTATGCCCTCCTAAAATTCCTATCTCCAAATATATTTGTTCACATTGAGGATTTGGGCTTTAATACATGAGTGGGGCTGGAGGATCACCAATCTCTATAGCAGACTGAGACCCTGAGTCATGAAGGAGTATTTCCAGGTGGAGAATGAGGAGGTGGGGTAGAGGAGAGCAGCTGTGTATGGGGAGTGCACATAGGGAAAGCTGGTACAGAAATGGTAACTGAAGTGCATGTAGCTTGTTATGTGTATAGAGGTGATGGGTCATGAAACTAAATACTGAACTTGTCAGGATGTGAAGGAACATGAATGCTCATCTGCTATGAAATAAAGAAAGCACACCACAGTTCAAAATGTTGAAAACAGAGATTCCATACAGGTAGCATGGACATACGTGCGGAAATCACAAGGTGAGTGAGATTTTTCACAATATTTGCAATTATTCAGCCATTTTATTACCATCAACTTGCACAGGTTGCAAGCTTCAAGTAAAGAAGTCTAAATCTATTCTGAGTACAGGAAAAAGCTGCTCCTCAAGAGGAATTGTGGGTTTCCTCAGCTGTATTTACATCTACCCTCTGAGCATTTCTGGATTGATTTCACAGCCACACAGGAGTATTTGTGGCTTGAATTCAGCATGTGAAAGAGAACTTGTGTCCAACTCTATAACCTTTATTTGTGCCCAAGACTTCAGGCAATGAGGGGAAAGTAAGTTGAAGAAAGACTTGGAGGAATTCAGTTAGTTAATTTTAGTGGACTTGGATTAAGGCTGAGGAAAAATATTTTAAGCCATTAAATGGAAGAATTTAGACAGCTTTAAGTATACATACTTTGGTTTTAGAAAATTATCTAGTAAAGAGTTCTGAGAAATCTATACTATGTCTGATGTGATGGTACTATTGTTTGTCAATTTGACATGGTCTAGAATAATCTAGGAGACAAGCCTAGGCATTCCCATGAAAACGTATTTAGATTGTTATTTGAAATGGAAAAGTTTACCCTAAATTTGGGTGTCACAATTCCATGGGGTAGGATCCCTTCAAGAAAGTGAGCTGAGCAACAACATTCATCACTCTGGGCTTCCTGACTGCAGTTGCAATGGGACTAGCCAGTCTCCTACACCTGCCAAAGGACTTCCTTCCTTCCATGTCTTCCCTGCCATGATGTAGTGATTTTCTTGAACTGTAAGCTAGAGAAACTCTTCTTTATGTTAGCTGCTTATTGTCTGGTATTTGTTCACAGCTAAGAGAAAACTAACTAAATACACTTAACTACTTAACCTGCATACTTTAACTTTCACCACTGTGAAAAGTTAATTAGGACAACTAGATATTGGTAAGATCCTTCTCCATTGTATTATATCACAGTGATAAGATAGTAACTGTGTCAGCCAGGGATATGGGTACAGCAGTGGCCATAAATAAGAATTGTGCTTGCTTCCATGATCTTAGAGTCTTAGAGGTTGTTCATCTCTAGAAAACCAAGGTACATATTAAATTTGGTTGTCATTGTCCTGAGCATCATCTATTAAAATGTAGAAAGCTTTTGTCAACATTATTCCTGAAGTTTGCTTTTAAATTCTGGCTGAGTATCAGCATGTCTGTGTCCAGGATTTGTAGCCCATTTTGGTCTCTTTTCCTCTACTCTCCATCCTTGTCAATCAATCCTTTCTGAAAACTTTGCGTCATTTCCTGGTCTCTGAAAATCACTAGGGTTTATATTAGCTCTGCATTTCTGTCCTCCTCTGTTCTCCTACCCACCTTCCTCTTACCACTCTTGGCCAATCTCACACGTGTCTTGTTTTATTATTTCTTTTCAATCTCTTCCTAATTTACCACTATCGTCCTACATGGTAGAGATCTTTCTAGTCACATGACATCATGACATGCTTTTTTTTTTTTTAAATTAAGCTATGTATAAATTAAGGATGAATTCTTTCTCCTCCCTGTATGAACATTAAAGAACCCAGATCTTACTGTTCAGTACATCTTGCTTTCCTAGGGAGTATGTTTTATTTTCAAGTGCTTAGGGGGCTGTGTGAGTAGACTTCACAGTATTTCCTTAGTCTGTCATGAAGACAGTGGAGAAAATATCACTTGTTTCCCTAATGTCTTCGAGATTCTAACATATTCTTCCCTACTGTGTCTAGCTAGGGCTTGGAGTTTACAGACTTTATTTCCCAGGTTACTTGGAAACTGGTTTTCTGTTGTTGTGTCACATTAGGAGACACTAGCAAGGAATCAACAGATGGGAAGAAGTATGCTTGAGGCTTTAGGACTGCTGAGTGTGCTGATTCTTGACTTTAGGAAAAACTAGACTAGTTCAGTGTTCTCATTCTTAGCTAATGGGATGTCTTGTCTACACTTGAACAGTTAACTGAAGTGTATGCCCAACCTTGTGGCAGCAACTTGTTGTAACCAGAGGCTTTTCACTGTCCTGTCCCATCTTGAATCCTCTTTTAAGTAATCACTCAGAGGCTTTTATTAATCACAAATGCTTGGCCAATGGCTCAGACTCATTACCAGCTAGCTTTTACATCCAAATCAACCCATTTCTATTATTCTATGTTTTGCCACATGTTTTGTGGTTTTACATGTGTTCTAATACATCTTGTTCCTCTGGCAGCTAGCTGGCATCTGTTCCTGACTCCACCCTTCTTCTCCCTGTATCTCTGCTTGGATTTCCTGCCTGACTCTATCCTGCCTTGCTATAGGCCAAAACAGCTTCCTTATTAACCAATGGTAATAAAACATATTCATAGCACACAGAGGGGTTATCCCATAGCAGCTTGTCTTCACAAGAGTCATTCAACTAAATACCAGCAGCCTCTTGATCTCACTATTCTGTTTTGCAAGATTTTCATCATCTTTCAACATCAGTATCCCAAATTAAATCTCCCCTGTTTGCAACACTTATAATGCAGTGGTTCTCCATCTTCCTAATGTTGGGATCCTTTAATACAGTTACTCATGTTGTGGTGACCTCCCAACCATAAAATTATTTTTGTTGCTATTTCATAACAGTAATTTTGCTATTGTTATGAGTTGTAATGTAAATATCTGTGTTTTCTGGTGGTCTTAGGTGGGGTCACAACCCACAGGTTGAGAAACACTATCATAATGGGTTCCATTGCCTCAACTGATTATATTAAAACAGAGCATGGTGGTAACAGCAGAAATAATGTATTTTATTTTCCTTTTGTTTATGACAAGTTTTATTATTAAGCAAAGGATACCTGTTAGATAACTCTTTCATGTGTACCAGGAAACAAAATGCCTTGGATGGACTGGTTTTAGTAACTTCTTCACTTTTGTGATGAAATAGTCTGACAGAAGCAACTTAGGAGATGAAAGATTTATTTTGCCTTACAACTGCTGAGAATACAGTCCATCATGGTAGGATATACATGGCAGCTTGCAGGGTAGACATGGTAGAAAGAACAGAAAACTTGTTGGTCATATGACATACATACTCAGGAAGCAAACAGCAAAGTAGGGCAGGACTGTAAACCCTGGGGGCTTGACCCAATGACTCTCCTTCAGTGAGGTTCTGCATCCTAAAGGTTCTACAACCTTCTTAAGCAGCACTAATCTGGGCAGCAAGTGTTCAAACAAGTGAGTCTATCGGGTACCTTTCATAATCACACCACAAATTCAAACCTCTGGCCTCCATAGGTTCCTGGTCATCTCCTGTTGCATAATGTATTCATGTCCATTGCTTTCAACATTCCTTATAGTGTTCAAGAATCCAAAATCTAAAGTCATTTCTTAGAGCTAAGGCAGTCACTTACCTGTGAGTTCTTATAAAATAAAAAGCAAGTTATATGTTTCTAATACATAACAGGACAGAGTAAAACATTCCAAAAAAGAAGCATGAACAAAAACAAGACTGAAAACCAGCAGGGTAGACATGAAATACTGTAATTCCATGTCTGACATTTGGGATTTGTGATAGAATCATTTCAGATACAAAGGGCTTAGATAGTCCTTCTACATCTCTGGTGCCTATAGATTACATAAACTCTTTCTTAGGCTGCTTCTACTCTGTTTATACAGTTTTCTTAATTAAAACCCCATGGTTTTGTCCTGTTGAACATTCCAGGATCTCGATGGTAAAGGAGGTTCTACCTTCACTACTTCATGTAGTGGCTCTAGGGCCTCTTTGGAGGGACTCCAACCCTTGTCACTCATTGCTTAGCATCAGCAGCTCTTGAAATGGTGGTAGAAGATTCCATGCCACCTTCAAGCTTGTATCTTTTATGCCTCCATATCAAATACCATGTGGACAGCATTGTTAAGTTCTATTGGCCAGCTCAAGATGTAGCCTGACCCCCTTGGAACCCAGTTGCCTCTGTTTCTGTATGTTGACCCTGGGGAAATACTTCCTGAGTTACTTTCCAGGAGCAAGACACCAGTTTGGCATTCTACACCTAGACTTTCTCCTTTGAAACAAATTTGCATGCTCACAAGTTGGAACATTTGATTTGTGGGGTCTAGCTCTCAGTGCACCTTTCTTATTGTTCCAGTACACAACAGAAGGTTCTCTTTAATAAGATTTACAAATGCTTTGAGATCTACATCCTTCTTTTTACAGCTTCAAGTTTACTCACACACCTTTCCTCAGTAAACTTCACATTTTTGGCTTGTTTATGTTGCTCTTTCTCACTGTAGATCAGAATGAGAACAGTGTGCACACCGGAGCACAGCCTCAATGTTATCATGACTAGAAAGTTTCTTGTCCAGGGAAGAAAGACTCATGAGCGCCCCACCTCTAGCTCTAGCTGGAGGGCTATTGACAGTTGATAGCTTCTAGCAGAGGAAGAGTCTCTTCCTTTCTTCCTTCCTTCTTTTCGCTGGTAGGTTGACCATGCTCCAGAGTATGGCCCCACAAATTGGACTAGATAGAGCATTAAAAAATGGAGGATATGAAATTTGGAGGGGATTAGGCTAGATCTTGGAGTAGGTAAGGGAAAGAGTAGGAATGCATGATTAAAATTTATTTTATGCATATGAAATTCTCAAAAATTAATAAAAATTAAAAAAAATTTCCTCCAAAAACAAACAAACAAACAAACAAACCCCAACAAGTTAAGCCATTACTTCTGACTAGAGCTTCATTCAACTCTTTGAAACACAGGCTGACTACAGACAGACTCTTAGACAAGATACAGCCTGAATGGCCTCCACCCTTGCTCCACATAGAGTCCTTGTTACTCTCTAAAACTTGATGAGCACCCACAATTTTCTCTGCCTTTTGTCCTTTTAAGTTCCTCTCTTAAGAGCTCATGGCATTCTGCTTACAGAATCTGAGGGCTTTTCTAGCCTACAGTTTCAAACTTTTCCATTTTCTTCCCACAAACCTGTTCCAAAGGCATAAGGTCTATGTGGTCAGATTTACCACAGCAATGACTCTGCTTCACAGTACATCATAGTTACTGTCTTAGTACTTAGTACTATATAATACTCAGACAATATCAACTCAAGAGAAGGGTTGACCAGGCACAGTGGCACATTTAATCCCAGCACCAGGGAGACAGAAGCAGGCAGATGTAAGTCCAAGGCCAGCCTGGTCCACAAAATAGGTGCCAGGCCAATCAGGGCCACAGAGTGAGATCCTGTCTTGAAGTGAGGGAGGGAGGGGAGAGGTAAGAGGAAGAGAGGAAGAGAGAAAGAAGGGTTTATTTTGGCTTACAATTTTAGAGTGATACAGGGAGAATATGGCTGCTGGAAGGGAAGACATCATGGCAGAGTGGCAGGAGCAGAAGGTTGGATGGTCACATTGTGTCTGTACTCAGGAAGCAGACACCAAACAGAAAGGCGACCCAGGCTATGCATTCTCAGCTCCACCCCTCTCTCCAGTAAAGCCCTACCTCCTACAGTTCTACAACTTGTCCAAATGGTACCATCACCTGGGGGTCAGTTCAAGAAATCAAACCCATGGATTTGATTATATTATAACAGAGGTCAAGGGTAATCCATCTTATAAAAAATGGATCTAGAAGTTGGACAAGAAACACCATACAGAAGAAAAGAACACTGTACTTAAAAGTCAAAACTCCTAACTTCAAGTCTACCTTCTTTACTAGCTACATAATGATGGGCCAGCCTCGAATTCTTTTTGACATTCCATGTCATCATTCATAGAAATGTGACCTCATTATCATGCAATCATAATAGAGATGATATGAAGATATGTGTGGTGTTGGTGTGCTTCAGGAGCTGAGTGCTTTCCTTGCATGTGCCCAGTTCTGAGTCTGATCCACAAATAGGAAAGACACTGAAAAACAATATTTTTTTTCCTTTGAAAGTAGAAGGGCACTCTGGGAGGAAATGGAAAAGGAAGGAGAGTCAATTTGTCTCTTAATGCAGGCAACTTTCAGCCTGGTAAAGTAGAAAAAGTATATGTAGAAATATGTCAAATTCACATTTCTCTAAGGGGAGCTATGTTTTTACCCTTAGTTTGATGCCAGCCTAGTTAATGATTTTTCTAAACAGTTATGCAGCTATAGGCACTTAAGTATTCAAGAGGGCAATATGTGAAAATTACTCTTAATCAAGATTAAGGCAGTAAGCAATCTTTGTTTGTACAATCATTCGAGTAACTTGGTTGGAAATGCCTGGCCATTTTGTGACCTCAGTTTCTGAATCTGTAACCGGGGAGCAGCATGCTGACTTGCCTCCTGAATGTGCTACTGTGCATTAATTACCTGCATGTGATTGAGGAGTGTCCTCAAGACGAGCCCTGAAATGCCGAGTGTTCTTGCTGATAATAAAGCAGGTACATTCTTGATGGAGTTGTCATGAGGATTAATGATTTAATTGCATCGAAGTGCTCTGATATTCTTAGATGAAAAGCACCATATAACTTTGAAGAGGAATATTATTAAGTAGCTTCTGCTTTGTTTCCCTGAAGAGCAGCTTCAAAGTAGGCAATGTCGATTTGCCCATGCCTAGCCAAGCACTTCCATCTCCACTCAATATGGCAGGAACTTAGGGTTTCAGAGGAAGCCTGGTCTAGGGTGATTAGGAATTTCTTATATTTTTTCTGTAGTTGGCTCATGGGGTCACTTGGAGATGCAGTCTTCACAGTTGTCAACTAATAAGATAATTTGGAATTAACCAGTGCAAACACTTTTCTATTGGTGAGAACAAAGTCTAGTTCTGGTGTTTATACTAATCTACCTCTTCAAGTGGCCGCCACCTCCAAATGCTCCAGTCTTACTGGCTTCGGTTCAGTTTCTTCTACTTTCTGAACTCTGTTTTGCTTTTGACTTTTGTGTTTTCATTTTTAGCTTTTTAAAAGAGTGGGCATGCACTGTTTTTCTTCTGAATATCAGTTCATTACTTTTCTTCAGTGGCCAGGCTCTTATGACTAACCCTTCCTCTTGGCTGTTTCTTTCTGCCACACCAATCTTTCTGTTTGTCATTAGTATTTATTAGGAAATCCATATATCTTGTAATTTACTACCTTAATTACATGTTGTTTGCTCCATGCTACTAAAGTGTAAATGTATAGTGATGTAGACTTTATCTGTTTTATCCTCTGCCTTTCAACTGTGGCTGACTATAGCAGATATTTGGAGAATGCATTGTTTATGATTTTTTTTTTTATGTATCCACCAAAATTGCTTAGTGGCCATCAGTAAATTAGGTTAGCCTTAAAAAACCTGTAACATAGGCTGTGCTGGCTAGTTTTATGTCAACTTGACACAAGCTAGAGTCACCAGAGAGGAGGGAACCCCAAAAGGGAAAATGCCTCCAGAAGATCCAGCTGTAGGCAAGCCTGTAGGG